GGTCGCGATCCTGAGCCCTGCTACTCCGGAGTCAGTCCCCCGGATCTCTCCGCCGAGGAGCGCCGCGGCTTCTCTTGGCGGTGGAAGGAGGGAAGACCCCCCCCCCGAGCGCCCCTTACCAGGCGTGGATGCCGCCTCACCGCCGCTGACTCCCGAGGAGACCTGGCGGGGTTCGCGGGCGGTCCGCCGAAATCCGCCGGGAATCGGCCCCCTGAGATCCAAAATCCGATAACCTTTCCGTGTCGGGCCGAGGATCCCGGAGGGGCCAGAAGGGAAAAGGGAGAGAGAGAGAGTTTCAAAAGGAAACTCCCTTTTCGGGCTCTTTTCTACCAGGTCTGAATTTGACAGAATGATCCGAGAGGAGGGATTTTCAAAAATGGCCTGAAAAATTATTGGCGACCCAACGTTGCGATCCTGTAGCTGGGATGATGATGAATATTTATTTATCACTCTCTGGACAAGAGAACTACATTTATTTGGGAGGGGGGACGACGAATGATAATCGACATTTAATTATAGCCTTGTAATTTAGAGAAACTAATTTTCCCCCTACATAGTTTTCAGTAAGAGGCATTGGTATTCCATAAGGAGCACTCACTATTCATAGAAGTATTAATTTTTTGATAATGGGAAAGCTGCTCTTTATAAAAACAGAAAAAAGTTCATCAACGGGAGGCTTGTCATGAAGCAATAATAACAGGAGGGTCCGTCGGTTCGGGGGGAAAAAAAAACACAACCGCCTTGAATAAATCTTTTACGAGCCGTATTCTTCGTGTCATTAACGGCCGCCGCCGCCAGCCCTTTGATGACCAATTCGGAATAAATTCCTGCAGGTATTGACGGCTATCACGATGAAGCAGAGCCGCACAAATAGATGTTATATCTTCCTTTTGAAGAATTTTCTGTTGTTATTACCAGTGACAGATTTTCGTTAAAAGAAAAATCGCTTTTTTCCGCCTGTGGGGAAAGGAGGTCTCCAGCCCTGCTTGGGGGGCAGGTGGTTTTAACAACGGTTTCTCTGCAGGCTTTTAAAATTATTGGACCTTTCTGGAAATCCTGAACTCCTTCCCATTTCAGCGGGGAAGGGGCTGCCCCCCCGTCCGACCCCGACCCCAAGAAATGTAGTTTATTGTCCCGAAGGATGATGCCGCGCCAGCGGGGAGAGTCTCGCAGATGGACTCCTCGGAGGCGGTGGGAAAATACAGAATATTAGACTAAGAAAACCTCCAGGCGCCTCCCGCCCGGGTTTCCCCAGGGAAGGAACCGTCCCGTGTTTTGTTTTTGCTTTTTGCTTTTCCTTCCTCGAGGAAAGGTGGAAATAAATGCCCGTCGATGTGAACTAGATTTGGGAGGAAGCAGCTG